CTGGACAACAGAATTAAAGGTCTGCAAATACCAAATTCAAGGGAGCCGGACGTTTTCCCGAAAGACACTTGCCCGAATGCCGTTTGCCCGAAGGCCGACTTACCGAATGGACACTTGCCCGAATGCGACAAATGGCCGAAGGGACACTTGCCCGAATGCGACAAATGCCCGAATGCCACTTGCCCGAAGCCCCCCCCCCCCCCCCATCACCAAACCGACACTGGTATTGGCATATTTTTACCTTTAAAAATGTTTCCTAATACAGTACTATAAATACAGTAATTTAAATATGACACTATATATAATATAATAAAGTGTCGTAAATACAGTATTATAGATACTTTACCCCTTATATTCATAGATGCGTTTGTATATGCAAAATGTAATCTTTTATCTTGCTCTTTTAAATTTCATGTGAATTATTAAAATTAAATCCGAACCAAGAACTTTTTTTTTTTAATTAATTCGCTAACGCTAATTTCCACTTATAAATTTAAATTAACCAAGAAGAATAACCTACAAGTTTGCTCCCAAAAATGGCTAAATGTACAAAGAAATTCTATATAATTTTGAGAAATATAAAACATTGTTTACCTTGTAAATCAAAACGAGAATATTTATTTAAATCTTATAAAAAGGATTGCTTAGCCTTTGTTTTGTAATTTTAAATTATTATCAGGCTCAAGTATTAATTGCAAACTGCTAGCTGAATTAAAGAATTCACTTGTTGATATAATGGAAAAGTTCAGTGTAAACAATTGCCGTTTTATGGCACAAAATGACACAACAAAAAAGAAAAGAAAAAAAAAATAAAAAGAAGAAAAAAAAAGTGTAGCTGTGTTGTTTTAATTGATTTATAAAAGAATGTAATTTAAAATAGTACATACTCTTGGTCTAGGCCAGGGATCGGCAACCTATTGAGCTGTAAGAGCCAAAAGTTACAATTTTCAAAATTTCTTAGTTTTTAAATAGCCATTAATAATTGTTCTTCAATATTAAGGTATTTGATTAGGATTAGCTAAATAATTATTTGTTTATGGGTTCAAGTATGAAAAAATATGTATTCATATAAAAACATACACATGTTTCGCACAAAACATAATAAAGTATTTCTACTAGTTCTTTTAGGATAATAAAATCGAATTATAAAACTAAATTAGCTAATTTAGCAAAATTAGGATTAGCTAGATAATTTTTTTTTATGAGTTTAAGTATGAAAAAATAAAGTATTTCAACTAATCTTTTTAGTATATATATATATATATATATATATATATATATATATATATATATATATATATATATATATATATATATATATATATACTAGTCATCGACACCCATTACACGTGAATTATAGGCCTATATTTTTTATGCTATACTTGTTTCAGAAAAATAGTTCATGAAATAGTTATTTGTCAAAACGCAATGTGCTTTTCTATACGTTGAACGATATTAGTGAAAAAGCAAAGAAATAACTAAATAGTAAAATATCCGTCACATTTAAAAAAAAATATAAATAAATCTAGAACACTCGAATTAAGGACGAAGAAGACGAAGAATTAATTTAAAATTAAATTTAAGATAATTGGCATGTTATCTAAAATTAGCGAAGCAATTTTACACCATCTAATTTACAATAATTGTTTTTACTGGTGTCATCCTCCCCTCCCTCCCCCCCCCCCCCCCCCACACACACACCTCTACGCTGGGAGGATGTTGCGTAGTGACATGTGTGATAAGCAATTGAGCATCTGTTAGCCCCATTGCTTTCCTCCATCAAAAAATTAAGAAATGCGTGCCAACATGCTATGCGCTAGGTTAACACGAAGGTTACATCCACTTTTTTTACATTTAGGTAATAGTGTTCTGGACAAGTTAGTGTAAAATTTTATGGACCAATTACGTAAGGCATGAGTCAAAGTGTTTTTTTATTCTATTTTAAAAGATAGAATCTAAGACTTTAGTTTAAATATGACAATATATGTCTACAAGTTCGACACAGATAAAACTGAATTTGATGTTTTCTCATAACCCGAAATTTGAAAATCCAATCTGATTAATATCGAATCACAGATACCTAACCACATAAATACGAAATAACTCAAAATTGCTGACATACAAATCTGGCGATCACTGAATCTGACAATTATTACATAAGGAAGCCGGACGTTTTCAAGAAAGACACTTGTCCAAATGCCGTTTGCCCGAAGGTCAATTTCCCAAATGGACACTTGCCTGAATGCCATGTGTCCGAAGGCCGTTTTCCCGAATGGGACAAATCAGTACCTACCTACCCTCCTCTTGTGAGATTACATATTTTGATAGCGAGCATGTTCTTATAAAACACAGGGCAGATTGCTGACAGGTGTAATAAAAGTACTTCAGGTGTGATTGAACTCTTTATCTAAGGTAAGTGCAATGTTAAATTACTTTAAGAAAAAGAATTGTCTGTATTCGAACGCCTTTAAAAACAGCATCAATCTAGCAATGTTATTTTATTCATGAATGATGTAAAAATTAGCTTTTAACACGTAGCCACATATTTGACTATCAAATACAAACTAAGAAACATTTTTCACAATTTAGCCTTTATATTCATAGATACATGTGTATATGGTAAATGTAGGCCTATATCTTGCTCATTTAAATTTCAGATGAATTAATGTAATTATATCCGAATCAAGAAAATTTATTTAATTAATTCGAATTCGTAAATTTTCATTTCTACATTTACATTAACTAGGAAGGATAACCTACAACTTTGAACCCAAAAAAGGCTACATGTACTATGAAATTAATAAATAATTTTGAAAAATATAAAACATTGTTTACAGTGTAAATTAAAACAATAATATTTCTAAATGTCTTAGAAAAAGGATTGCATAGGCTTTGTTTTGTAATTTTAAATTATTATCAGGCTCAAGTTTTAATTGCAAACAGCTAGCTGAATTAAAAAAAAATGTCATGTAGACATGATGAGAAAGTTCAGTTTTAACAATGGATTTTCCTCATGGATTTAATACAGGGGTCGGCAACCTGCGGCTCGCGAGCTGCATGCGGCTCTTTTGATGTCGAGATGCGGCTCTTCAGCTCCATGCACACATATTAATAATTATTTTATTTTATTTTTAAAACTAATAAAAATATTGTTCTGTAACAGTCGGTAATAAATGATATAATAATAAATATAAACGATAAACACTAACTATTCTATTAGAATATTTAGTAAGGCTATATTTCAATGTATTGTCTATTAATGCTTTTATCCCAAATTGAATCATTCAACTTCATTGTGGATATCACAAATGAAATAAACGAGCTAAATGAAAAACTGCATGAAAAGGAAAACCCACCCTATGACTTGCTTGAAGAAGATGATTGTTTAGAAAAAAAATTATTTCATTTTGTTGAAGACACGGAGAGCGGTAAATTACTTTATTTCGAAAAATCTGAAAATAATTATCATGATAAAACCAACGATACTCTTAACTTGAATAACTTCAGCATTGCTATAAACAAAATGAAGGATGGGTTCACTGAGAGATTTCAGCAATTCAAAAGAAATGTAAGTAGTTCATAGTAGATTCCATCAAGGCAAAAACAAATTAAATTAACTTTGAGCTATTTGGAATTGATGCTGGTTCGCTTTAAATTAAGTTGCTAGATTTGAAAACCAAACATTTGTGGAGCGTTAGTTCACAGATCTCAAGAGCAAGTTAGATGATTTGGAGGTTCAGTAAAACATGCATGTTTCACTGCACAACTGGACAACTCTAATAGAAATGTCGCGAGTTAAGGCCCTATTATGTGACGCATGGAATAGTCTTTTAGGATGCCACAGTGAGGTGAAGAAGTTTGCATTTGGAGTGCTGACGATCTTCGGGTCAACATATTCATGCGAGCAAGCGTTTTCTTGCATGAATATAATACAAAGTATAAGAGCCAACTAACAAATAAAAATCTAGAGGCGTGTTTGAAATTGAAAAAAAAATAAGAGCCAGGTTTAAACAAACTTTCAAAAGGCATGCAAGGCGAAACTGTTGTAAATAGTATTCAATATTCAATAATTAAAGTTATATACTTTGATTACTGATTTTATTATTCTAGCAGAGCTAGATAAAATACTTTAATACTTTTACTGCGAAACATGTGTATGTTCTTATTTGATTAAAAATTATTTCATATATATACAGATATAAATATATATATATATATATATATATATATATATATATATATATATATATATATATATATATATATATATACAGATATATACAGATATATATATATATATATATATATATATATATATATATATATATATATATATATATATGTATATATATATATATATAATCATTATCAATAAATATCATAATATTGAAATAAAAATGTTTGTGGCTCTTTAAACACTAGGATATTTGGTAAATTGTAACTTTTGGCTCTTCCGTCTCAAAAGGTTGCCGACCCCTGACTTAATACAACACTCCGTGTAACCCTGTTGTTTTAATTTATTTAAAAAGAAAATAATTGAAAATAGTACATACTATAAGTCCTAGGCAGTGGCGTCGCCAGGCTTGGTGTAATCCCCCCTCCGAACAATAAATATATAGTCATCAGCACCAGTTTCACGTGAATTATAAGCCTATATTTTTGTAATGCTATACTTATTTGAGAAACATATTTTATGAAAAAATTCCATGAAAACGTTTTAATAACAAGCTTTATATAATAATGCACTAAAAAGGAGAAAATAAATTATACACTACTATTTAAATTACCATAAATATTAGTAAAGGTATCCAATATATACTAAAGTGACCCACGCTTTTCTGTATAGTAATTTAAATAGTGTATAATTTATTTTCTACTTTTTAGTGCATTTTACATAAAAGCTTGTTATCAACACTTTTTTTATGAATTTAAAAAAAAATGACTAATAAAAGCTTGTTATTGAAACGTTTTATATGAACAATTTTTTTGTGATTTTTTTT